AAAAAAAAAAAAAAATTTCCAAATGAAATTTGTGTTTTTTTAATTGAAACATCTATTTTAGATAATACTGATAGTGAACAATGTATATTTGACTCAATACCCGATGATGATGTTATTGATTCTAATTTGGTGAATGAAAATCTGGACAAGTTGTGCACTACTTGTGTTGTATCTAAAGGTATTTAACTAATCAAATATTTTATTTTATATTCATTTTACTTAATCAAGGTTTTTATTATAGATATAATTGAAGTTTCCAGTGTTAGCTCTACAACTGAAAATATAAGTGGTTCAAACGTAGAGAGTTATCTTAATACTATTTCTACTATATTTGAAAGTTATCCAAATGATCCAGCTTTAATTCCTACATCAAATATTTCTGATGAACAGTTTTCATTTATTAATTCACTTGGGCCTTGTCAACCTTTACAATCTAGTTTACCAGGAAAACAATTCCCAAAAAGAATGCAAGGAGAAAGACTGAGATCATTTCATGATGAGCACTACTTCAAGAAACTTCAATATGGATCACTGGTTAAACGTATGTGGATGTCATATTCTCCATCCGTTGATAAAGTGTATTGTATTGCATGTAAACTATTTGGAACATCAACAGCTAAGAAAAATCCTTTAGCTAAAGATGGAATAAATGATTGGAAACATATTTCTAGAAGAATTTTATGCCATGAAACGTCATCTGATCATTTACAAGCGGTTTTAAGAAAATCTATGTATAATTCAAATCAACGGGTAGACGTTGGACTGATTTTAGAATCATCTAACGCTTATGTTGCCGAAAACAGAGAAGTTGTTAAAATTATATTTGAAACTATAATTTATCTTGCTCGGCAAAATATACCATTTCGAGGGCATGATGAGAGTTTAACTTCTTTAAATAAGGGAAATTTTCTAGAGATGTTAAAACTATTGTCAAAACACCATGCGTTGCTCTCATGTCATCTTAGAAAAATTGAAGATTCAAAAAACCACAATCGTCTGACATTTTTATCGAATGTAAGTCAAAATACAATGATTTGTATTCTTGGTGAGCTGATTCATTCAAAAATATTAAAAAGTGTTAAAAGTGCTCAAGTATTTTCTATTATGATAGATACAACCACGGATATATCCAACTTGGAACAATTTTCATTAGTATTGCGTTTTGTTAATGATCAAGGGATGGTAGAAGAGAGGTTAGTTGCTTTAAAAATAGCAACTGACTCAACCGGAAAAGGAATGTTTAACTTATTTT